TGGCACATGCAGCCCGCCTTGGCCCCGGCCCTCTTCAAGCCCACCAACGTCGACCGTATGCTTGTGCCAAACTTCCAAAATGGGATAGCAGCTGCTAAAGGTTTCCGCCAATCCAACCTGGCGGGAATGCTTTCGCGCCGCCTCGTCACCCCCTGACGCGGCCTCTTCGTATTTGCGCTAGCTGCTGGCCTGTGCCTGGAATCAATCAACGAAGTGGGTCGGGCCAGAAATCTTCAAACACTGTAGCTGCCAGCGGCCCAGCAACGTACTTCGATGCGCACCGTTTACTGCACCACCAGTCGTCTTCCGGTGAACACCGCTTAACAACCGCTCAGTGCTGAGGCCGCGTATCTGCGTATAGGAGTGGAATCACCGTAGAGCATTTACCTCCTTGCAGCCAGATCTGTGTAACAGTACTACTTGTCGGTGTACATTAGAGAAGCCGTTATTAGCAGCTCCAAAATTACATGCATGCGCTAGGATGAACTGGGTGCGAACGTTTCGTTTTGGCGCCCCGGAGCGTCCGCAGGTGCGGTGTAGGCAAGCTGCGCGCCAGCCGGTGGTCGGTTGGCAGTTGCGAGCATGCACAGCTGCTGGCCAGAGCAGCTGCATCCCCTCTGGGGTGTTAACTCTTGAACATGACCCAGAACGCTGCTCTTTACGCACCAGCAGCCGGTACGTCCCCGTAGCTCGATTCCGAGAAAACGTATACGAAGTATGCGGTTTCGGAGGAGCGAAGCGAAGGGAAGCATAGACGGTCTCCGTGGTCACGCTCCAGGGAACGCAATATTCGTGCTCGTCCCGTCCATAGACCCAAGGGTCGGTAATCGCGATGTTAAGCAGCCCGCTATGCGCAGCAAACTAATATTCAGTATATTTAGGCTAAGAGCGAAGTCATATAGTAATAATGGAAAAAAGAGGAGAACCGATTAATCAAGAGAAGACATAATATGAATAAAGGTAGTCTCCAAGATTAGGGAGCAGAACGTGATCGAACGACCTTAAAGCAGGTTTTTAAAAGGCGCTAGATCCGTTGTCGCGGTTCAAGGAAATGTGGTTGTCCGTGCATGGAGACGCGATGTTGGCTAGCAGTCGTGTAGGATTTGGCTCGGTTGAGGAGGTATGCAGTAGCCGTCTTTGCTTGGGTTTCGGGAATAGCGGTGCCCGAACTTAATGCGGGTACCACGTCCTTGAACGGGTCACCTTTCAGTGTATACGTAGATCACGTTGCTCTTCAAGACGGCAAGTAATCTCCCCATGCCTTTCCAATCCCCGCGCGGCGCCTGCTCCATCCTGTCATCGCACGTTCCTCGAGTAAAATGGCTGTTACCCGCGCTGGGCATGGATACTCCTGCCCTTCACCGTGCAATGTGTTCGTGTCCGTGCCCTTCACCGTGCAGTGCCTGTCTCGCGGCGTAAGTTCTTCCCAGTGCAGGATGCCCTTCCCCGCGCTGTACCTACCTGTCTCCCCGTGCCCTCCCCATGCGACTTGTCTTTACCCGCGCGGCGCGCGCTTGTGTCCCCTGCCCTTCCCCGGCGGCGGCTGCCTCCCAATGCCATAAACCATACAGCTGCCCTTCCCTGTGTGCGTGTTTCCCGTGCAGCGAAATTGCGGGCCTCATGCGGTCTGCCGTGGGCCTCGGTGCCATTCCATGTGCAGTGCCTGCCCCAAAATGCCCTCGGCTGTCCTTATCCGCGAGCCCCTGGCCCTTACATCCAATGCCTTCACTCCTGCATGCACATGTGTCAGCTTTCGGGCAGGGCGTGGCCGCTGGTCGCACGGCCGAGTGTAACTGAGTAGGGCGGGGTTTTATGCACGCACGCATTGGTGTCGGTACTCGGGCAGGACAGGGATGCATGCGTACATCACCGCGATAAACGGCGGGCACAATGGGTGTGCGTACCCGCATGGCAGCCGGTAGTCGGGCATGGTGAGTATGCATCCATGTATCGGTGCCAGTTTACGGGGCGGGGGGTTATGGATTCAGATTCGGAGTTGAGCGGATGCGCGGATGGGTGCGATGGATGGGAGAAGGGTGATCTTGCACGCACGGGGGCCTGTTCCTGGCAGAACGACTGGATGTCTGCATGCATGAGCGCCGAAAGCTAAGAGAGGCGGGGATGCATGTGCATGTGGGTGCCAGTAACTAGCAGGGCAGGGATGCCTACATGCATGGGCGGCATTCGTTGGGCAAGGCGATGGCTGCACGCGCGGGGAGCCATTACTTAGGTATTGTGGCGGTGCATGCCCCAGCGCATGAGCGTGTCATGCACACTGTTGGTAATCCAAGGAGGGAACCGGGTGAAAAGGCAGCTACATGATGAGGAACGTTGACATCGGGGTTGGGGGCTGGAAGCAGGGAAGGGAAGAACGGGCCCTGGAGACTGCAGAGGAGGACACAGACAGCAGATACGGTACGCATGGGGATCTGTCCTGTGCTTCTGTGGCCTGTTGTGTCGCTAGGCTTCGCACATCCAGGCTTTGAGGACGGGGTGTTGGCCTGTGCAGCAGCGGTGGCAATAGCGCTATCTTGCGCTAGCGGCGGGCGGATGGGGCCTCGGGCATCCGTCTCAGATCCGGAGGTCATGCCTGATCGCATGCACGCTTGATGTTGGCCAGTGCGGGGACTGCATGGGCGCGCCGGCCTTTGGGCGGGACTTGTGGGCGCCGGTGGTTCAGCAGCGCGAGTATGCCTGCACATGCAGGCGCTGGTAGTTGGACAGTGCGTGGAAGGATGCCTCCCTCTGCCCTAACCCGTGCGGCGCCCCTGCAGCTCACCTGCGTCGCCCCGTGCTTTGCTTGCCTTCCAATGCCCTTCCCCGTGCGTCTGCCCTTCCCCGTGCGGCCCTGCCTCTCCCCGTCATTGCCCGTTCCTTGAATTAACTGAACGGATGAGCCTGCCGCTACAATGGTGGTTTAATGGCGGCTGCCTACCCCTGTCCTTCCATGCCAGACGTCTGCCTGCCCTTGCCCTTCCCTTGTATTGACTGCCCCTCTCTGCCATCTTCTCTGTGCGGCCACCCTTCCCCGGGCAGCACCTGCCTCTCACTGCTCTTCCCCGTGTGGCACCGTGAGTGCGGCCTCCCTACCCTTCCTCGTAAAGTTTCTGCCTCCAAGTCCCCTCACGGGCTTCGGGTAGCTGACTTGCACAGGGGGTGTCTGCGTGCGCGCATTGGTGTTGGTACATGGGATGCATGCGTTCACCAGCGCGGTAGTTGGGCATGGTTAGTGTGCGTACAAGCATGGACGCCGGTACTTGGGCATGGCGGGTATGTATGCATGTATCGCATGGGCCGGGTGGGCATGCATTCAGGCGTCGGCGCGGCAGTGATGCTCGCGCTCATGGGAGCTGGTTCGTGGCAGGACGAGAGGATGTCTGCACGCTTGAGCACAGACAGCTGGAAGGGGAGGGTATGCATGCGCATGTGGGTGCCGGTAACTGGCACGGCATGTATGGCCATCACTCGGCTTTGCAGCATACACAGATGTTTCTAGCCATGAATTATCGCAGGCTTTTTTGTTGCCAAATAAGATGCTGTCACAATTGCTTTACTTGCTTGGGCTTCAGGAGTAGCGGAGCCCGAGCGTGTTGCGAGCGTGTAGGCCACATCCCGTCGTTAAGCGTTGAACAGGTCTTCACCTTTAGTGTGTACCTTTTCTTTGGCTTCCACAAGCCGTTTGTGCTTCCTACCCGTCTAGCAGCCTTGGCGACAATCGCTGCCATTCCTTTTGTGCTTTGAGCATCCTTCTGCATCCTCACGCCCTACATGCATGCGTGCAACCGCATCTCCACGACATCACCTCCCTCCCGCGAGCTACGGGCAGCTCCCGCCGAAGGCGGGCCTTACTAGTTGAATTGAAGCAGGGCTTGACCTTCACCGACGTTGTGACCCATGGGTCATCTTCAAACCCAAATGCTGACCCAAAAGCAACTTCGGGTCTGGGAGCAGCCGGTTTCCGGCCGTCAGGTTGGCCCGCTGCTGGTGCCTGCATGCAACTGCATTACTTTACTGTATAGCGGAAACGCCAGGGACTGGGGCAAAGAAGATACCTTCCTTTTCACTCCTGCCGGGTTACAGCGCTTTGCCTCCGTGAAGGACCCCATATCCCGTGTGCCCGAGCAGCATGCAGGGAGTCCCCATGTGCGCACATGTCGCAAATATATAGGGGTTGTCTATCGGGTCACGAGCACCTGCACACATGTCTCGCGTGTCTCATGCAATGGCCGTACCTCATAAACCCCGGTAGTCAACGTACGGCATACACAGCCCCCCACTCCCTCCTATCACTTATCACACGCGGCCCACAGCCAACGCAAACCTATCTTTATCTATCTAAATCTAATAGCAACTCTTGAGCGGCAAATGTTAGATAATAGCGCAGGCAAGGTCCTTAGTCCAGGACGCTTTCGCATATCCGCATTCGGCAAGGAGGACGGACCGTTCAAAGGACCGTATCGGATACCGGCAAGGAGCCGCCGGGCTCGCTGCCAGAGGTGCATGCCCCATGCCAACACGGTACATGCCCCAGCAATGCCAATCCTTAGGCCTTTCCCCGTAACAGAACCAGCTAGCAGGACCATGAGGCGTCTGCGGGCTGCCTGCCCTCCTCCACCCAACCCAACGAGCACAAGGAAAAGCAAACCCAACTCGTAGCCGCCCCCAGCCGCCCGCACCTCCCTCTGCGCCTGCACGGACTAGCTAGGGTTGGCACCTTGCTGCACCCTGTCTCACTTCACTCGGCCTGACCCTGCCTCCCTCAACGCCCCAGCACGTACGCCCCTCACCGCCTCCCCAAGCCTTCGCCTTCCCCTCCACACAACCGCATGGGTCTCCTGCCTGCCCTCCCACACGTCATTGTACGCCCCTGAAGCCAGGGCATCTCAGACCTCCCCTCCCCTTCTCTCCCCTTCTCTCGCTGCTGCTGCCCCCTCGCCCCCCCCCCTCGCCCCTCCCCTCGCCCCTCCCCTCGCCCCTCCCTTCGCCCCTCCTCCCCTCCTCACTCCTCCTTGGCGCAGATCCGCTTCAGGTGCTCGTACACGGCCACCATGCAGGTGCCCCACAGCGAGGCGTTCAGCATGCGCGGCACCGCACCGCGCAGGAAGCCCGCCGCGCCGTCCTCCCGCAGGATCTGGCGGGCCACCTGGGTGAAGGTGGGGGTGGCGCCGTCGTGCCTGTACGACACCTGGATGCGGGTCTGTGAGGGGGGGGAGGAAGGAGGGGGGCAGAGGAGGATGGCCGCTGGGGGTCGATGGTTTGGTCAGGGAAGAGAAGGGGAAGGGCAATGCCGGAGAAGACAGCTCCCGACAACGTAGGCGAATGCTCGCAGGCACGTAAGCCGCACGTAGCCCAACCGCTCGTGGCTCCTACCCCCTCCCACCCCAGCCCAACCCCTCCGCCGCCGCCCACCCACCCCACCCCAACCCTCCTCTCCCCCCACCTTGATCAGGTCCAGCGGAGTGGTGACCAGGCTGCTGGTGCAGCCCGCCAGGATGGAGGAGGTCACCTGCACCGCAACCACCTCGCCCGTGGAGTGGCCCGCGCCGGGAACCACCACCTGACCGGGAACCACCACCCCCGGCACCTGCACCTCTCCACTGCTGGCAGGGCTGGCAGGGCTGAGGCTGCTGCTGCTGCCTGCCGCCTCCTCCGGCCCCTGTCGGAGCGCCCAGATGAGTTTCTGGTAGGCGCCGTACGCACCCCACCACACGGCGCTGGAGGGCACGAAGGTGGCGACGGAGGCGCTGAAGCCGCGGTACAGCCCCGCCACCCCCTCCTCCGCCACGATAAGACGAACCATCTGAAGCGACCCGATGCGCCGTACCTTGCTGGTGGGGGCGGTGGTGCTGCTGGTGGTGGTGGTGGTGGGTCGCCCGGATGTGGAGGCTTCCGCTGCTGCTGCTTCCGTCGCCGCTGTCCGTGTCTGACTACTGCTACTGCTGCTGCCCGCTGCTGCTGACGCCGAGGAGGAGGATGAAGAGGAGTGCTGGGGCGCGTCTGCCACCCCTGCTGCTCGGCAACTGCTGCTACTAGGGCCACCACTGCTGCTGCTGCTGCTGCTGCTACTAATGCTTTCCGCCGCAGCCGGTGTGGCGGTCGCTGCTGCCGGGGGTGTCCGGCGGTGGGTGTGTTGGTGGCGCGCCACAACGGTCTCGTCCCCGTGCACCATTTGCTTTTGCGAGATGACGTCTATGGGCACTGTGACGGACTGGGTGGCGAGGGAGGCGAGTGCGCCGCCCGCGAAGTTGGCGAGTCCGGCGATGGTGGGTCCGGACAGGCCCAGCTCGCCCACCGCCTTGCCCACCTGGCTCTTGGTCCACTCCAGGGTGGTCAGGTAGACCTGGGGGGGTGGGGTGGGGGAGGAGGGTAGTCGAAGTAAGGAGAGGGAGCGGAAGTGAAGGCCCTGGGGTGCTCCTTCCCAGCTACCGTATGCGGCGAGACCCCGCACCACAGCCCCGTTGTACGAATGCAGGAGGCGGTAGATGTAGTGGTGCATATCAGGACACCTGGCTCCAGGGGCAGTGACAGTATTAAAGAAGCTCCCTGGCGTGCTGCGGGTATCCCCATCGGCGTATAAGGATCCGTACGTACCACACGTGCCGGAATAGTTCCACAGATGACTGTCCCGAATCCACGGTAGAACCCCGGGATGCTCTCCGTACGCATGATGGTGGACGCGGTTTGCTTGAAGCCCTGCACAAGCGCGATAAGCGAGTTTGATTTGGGGAATGGAAGGGCCACCGTTGGGTAACGCAACACCGCATGCTCCGTGCCCCACGGCTGCCTTGGTGCTGCCTGCAGCAGCTCACCTGGAAACCACCGCTTATACCAGGTAGCGTCATTTGCTTCGTCTTGATGACGGAAAGGGGGTACAGCGCAACGGTAACGCCCTGCAAGTTGCAATCAGGGACATGCGTCAAGCGACGTGTTCTTGCGAAAGCCTTCGTTGGGGACCGATTCCAGCAAACGTCATACCGAAAACATTCCGGCTCCTTGAATAAAGAGCTTGTTCTTATCCAGCCTGCATCAAGCGACACGTCATGTCGGCTTACGCACTCGACACCGGGCGACACCAGCTGATATTTCCCTTAATGTCAACCTCATAAGCACCATATAGCGATAGGTGCGCATGCAAAATCGCACCTGTCCCAGTCCACTTCCTCCACGTGGCTGCCCATTCTGCTAGACGTTCGCTAAATAAAGAGAATACGTTCCTGCTTTAATAAATTGCAGTCGCCTCGAAAGGAGAAGTATAGATGAGCAAAGCAATGTGTCAGAAGCTCATGGCGAGAGAGCGCCCGCTGCAACTATGAGTTCTCTTCATACGTTTTGCACAAAAGGAACTCGGACGCTTGCTTTGAGAGCATGCCAGTAGTTTCCCCGGCGGTTGCGTGGTTCCGTCTGTTGCCGTATTCCTAGCCCGATGGCGGGACACCCAGGTCGAGGAAACCAACCAGGCGCCCTATCGGCCACACCCGTTACAGCCCAAATGGATGTTCGATAAAACCTCATAGTGTAGGTATATTCCATGGAGGCGCAGCGACGCCTTTCGATGCACCATACAAGCTTGTCCTAGCACATAGCAGTGTTTCCAGTCACCATGGCGACAACTGACGACCTTCAAGGACCACACATGGTCCTGCGCCTCGCAAAGCAATTGCAGGACGGCCTGAAGCGCGACGTCCAAGGTGATGAGACGAAAGCAACGTTGCGGAGTTATATTTGTCATCCAACACCAGCGAGCACAAGCACCTCGATTTCGCCTTACACGTTTATGACCGTTGAAACAGGCATACTTGATGCCGTGAACGGCCTGGGCCTGGTTCTTCCAGACCACTTGCAACAGTTGCTTTGCGCAGCATGGCTACGCCAAAGGCTAGAGGTAAGGCTGCGCCTGGATCGCGCTTCATGCCATGTTGCGCACGTTGTTAAATACGTGTTGTGAAGTCATCCTTGCTGCCGTCATGTAGCTTTGCCTTGCCCGACCTATAGGTACCCACAACGCCGATATCAACATGATACCAGCCCTTAGCATTGCCGCACAATACTTCCACAACACAATTTCCATGGTGCTCGTTTCAATCGTCCGCCTTTTCATCGCTGTCCGCAGGCGGGGCGGGTGGACCTCTCCTTCGCAGTGCTCCTAGCGGACTTCATTCCCCTGAACGACCACAACGCGGCCGCACACGCGGATGCACGCACCCAGGTGGGGCCAAGCGGTGGGCGCTTGCGGTGAGGGTGGGGAGACTGCGGCCGGCCTGCAGCAGCACCGGCAGCAGGCATTGTCGAACACACATGTGCGCTACGCGGTTCGCGAGCCCAGCCCACTTGGACCTGGCTGGACACCGGTCCAGCGGCCCGCTGCGTGCACGTGACGAGAGGAGAGGCAACACGTCGCCATCACACCCGCTCCCTCTCCTCCGCGCCTCCTCCCATCGTGTCCCATTCCTCCCGCGTCCTCCCCACTCCTGCTGCCGTACTCCTCGCTCCCTTACACCCTTCACACCCCGCACACCCCGCCTCCTGGCACACGCACAGGCCTGCATGGAGCTGCTCAGCCGGGGCCCGCCCGACTACACGCTGTTCGAGCGCAACGTGCACCACCTCTTCTCCCTCCCCAACCACCAGCAGCAGCAGCAGCACCCGCAGCACCCGCAGCTCGGATCAGGGGACGGCGGCGAGGCCGGCTGGGAGGGGGACGGCAGCAGCGGCGGCAGCGGCACCTCTGCCGCCACTCAGGCGCTGTTCGCGGCGCGGCGGCAGCAGCTGCTGCAGTGCCTGCCGGACAGCGGGGCGGGGGCGGGGGCGGGGGCGGGCGGCCCGGGGGCTGCTGCTCAGCAGCTGGCTCGTGTGCTGGCGGTGGTGGAGGCGCACCCCGCGGAGGGCGCGGTGCGGCGGCTGGGGGCGCTGCTGCAGGGGGCGGAGCGGCGGCTGGGTGAGGGGAGGGAAGGAGTGGGGAGGGAAGGGAGCGGGGAGGGAGGAGTGCGATTTCGGTAGGCTTGGGTGGGTGGGTGTTAGGAAGCCGGTTAGAAGCGGTGTTGGTCTGTGAAGCGTGGAGGGCCTGCGGCCGTACAGCCGTATTGGGTGCCGTCATGGCGCGTGGCGCCTTGCATTCTGTACCGGTATGCACCACCGCCCCCCTGACAGCCCCCACCTCCCGCCTCTCCCTGGCCCTTCCCCCCTCCTGCCATGGCACCTGGGTCCCGCCCCCCCGTACAGCCCTTGTCAACCAGCACTTCATCCTTCAGCTGGAGGCGGCGTTGCGGGACCAGGGGCGAGGCAGGGCGCAGGGGGGGCAGCAGGGGCACAGGCAGCAGGCACGACGTAGGGAGGGGGCCGAGGAGCAGCAGCAGCAGCGCGAGGGGCGGCTGGATGAGGTATGGTGCGGCGATTGGGGCTATGGGGTACAGAGGAGTTGGTGAATGGGGTATCGAATACGCTGCGGTGTTAATAACGCAGGGCAGGCAGGGTAACCCCGGATGCCCTCCCTGCCCCGCGGCATGGTGCATGTTGGGCGTTACCCTGCTGGAACTCCTCTTCCTCTTCTGTCCCTGTACGCAACATCCGAAAGTCGTGGTTCCTTCCTCCCTTCCTTCCCCATCCCCTCCAGGCCGCTACCCCCTCCGCGGACCCCGCAGCCACTCCGAGATCGGCCCCGCGTGAGGACGTGGGGTCCCTGCTGCCGCCTTTGCCTGGGCAGCAGGGGCAGGAGGAGGAAGAGGAGGAGGAGGAAGAGGGGCAAGAGGAGCAGGAGGTGGAGGAGGAGGAGGAGCAGGAGGGAGAACATGTTGAGCATCTGGAGAAGTTGCAGCACCAGCATGAGGAGCAGCAACCAACCCTACCGCCGCCGCCGCCGCAGCAGCAGCAGCAGCAGGACGTGCCCCAGCAGCAGCAGCAGCAGCAACAGGCCTCGCAGCACCAGGGTCATGCACAGGAGGCCGCCTCACACCCCCCTCCTGTCCCCTCCCCCTTCCCGGGGCTGCTTGATGCCGCCCGCAGCCGCCCAACAGAGCGCACCCCGGCAGCTGATGAAGCTGTTGCATTGACACCGGGGCAGGGGGTGGAGAACGGCCAGGGGATTGCGGCGGCGGCGGCGGTAGAGGCGGCGGCGACGGTGGATGGCAGGGCGGCCGAGGTGGCGGTTGGTGCGGGAATGTCAGCTGCTGGACTCCTCGACGCGCCCCTCGTCTTGCCGACTCCACTTTCGGTGAAGCAAGAAGAGGAGGCGCTTCCGGTGGCGGAGGTGGTGGCAGGGGCTGACGTGGATGGGGCCCTGGCGGCGCGGGAGGCCCTGGTTGTAACTGGCAGCAGTGGCGACCAGCAGCGGCAGCAGCACTTGGTGGAGCCGGAGGAGCAGCGGTGGCGGCGGGAGCAGCAGTCGCAGGTTCAGCCCCGGCCCTCGCCGTCGCCGTCGCCGTCGCCGTCGGAAGGTACGAGGGGACATACTGAGGAGCAGCGGCGGCAACAGCGGCTTCAGGAGCAACGGCAGGGCCCGAGGCGCTGGGGTGGAGAGGCGGTAGACACAGCTGGGCATGCAGTGCACCCGCAGCATGCTCGTCCGCAGGAGGAGGAGGAGCAGCTGGCAGTTGGTGATGTCCCAGTCGCGGCAGCAGCGAGGGTGTCGTCGCCGCTGCCGCCGCCGCCGCAAGGACAGGTTGGAAGGGGGGCTGAGAGACAGCAGCAGCAGCAGCCTCCGCTGCAGCGGCGCCGGTTGTCTCCTCCTCCGCTGCCGGGAACAACAGGTGCGCATGCGGCGACGCGGGAGGAGCGGGCAGCTGAGAGGCCGGTAGCGGCTGCCGGCGGCACTGCCTCCGCTGCCGCCATATGCCCATCTGTCAACCGAGGCGCCGGTGCCGGTGCCGCTCCCAGTACCACAGCACGTGCGAAGCCCAATAGCGGCACTCAAGCGCGCGCACAGCAAAACGTCGTGTTCTTACACACATGGGAACGCAGCAGCAACAACAACACATCTGGCGGCGGCAGCGAGAGCGCTGCGTTGTGGCCGCGCCACACCACGCGGGCTCCTTCAGCGCAGCACGCGCCAGCGGCCACGGCGGCAGCGGCGGCGACAGGGGCAGCGGCGGCGGCGGCGGCGACAGGACGGCAGGGTTCTACCGGTCAGCCCGCTGCTGCTGCCTCTACTGCTGCTACTGGGGAAGCACCGGCCGCTGCTCCCAGGCCGCCTAGGTTGGGTCAGCTGCTCATCAGTCGCAGCGCTGTAACCAGGCAGCAAGGCGCGGTGAGCCAGTCAGCAGGTAGTAACAGCAGCAGCACCACGCCGCCTCCTCCTCCTGCAGGCGCAGTGCCGATAGCAGTTGCACCCTCCGCAACTGCCTCGGTTCCGCTGCCTTCACCGCCGCAAGCGCTGTTGGCTGCTGCGACAGCACAACCACCACCAGCGGCGGCGGTGGTATCGGTAGATCCCCCTGCCTCAGCAGTGCAGGCACACACGGTCCTGGAGGCGTCAGCGATCGCTGCAGTGGTGCCTCCGGCTTCAGCGGTAGCGCCGACACTCGTTGCACCTGCCGGGCCCCCCGCACAGCATGCCGACGCGTCCACCGGGGTGGGTGACGTGCAGCCGTCACCGGGGGATCCGGCGGGGACGCAGGGACCTGGTGTGTGGGGTGGTGGTGATGACACGGGTCGTAACGATGTCGTCGCGGGTGTGGCCGCACCCGCTGCCGCCGCCGCCGTCATCACGCAGATGGATGCCGGCAGCACAGCAGGTGTGGAGGCAGGGGGCGGTGGCGCGGGTGGTGCTGACGTGGCCGGCCCTCCGGCGGTTCCTGCAGCGGCGGCGGCGGCGGCGGCGGCGGAGGAGGAGGCGGAGGAGGAGGAGGAGGAGGAGGAGGAGGCGGGTGAGGCGGAGGAGGCGGAGGAGGCGGAGGAGGCGGAGGAGGCGGAGGAGGCGGCGGAGGAGGAGGAGGAGGAGGAGGCGGAGGAGGAGGAGGCGGAGGAGGCGGAGGAGGAGGAGGCGGAGGAGGCGGAGGAGGAGGAGGAGGCGGAGGAGCCGGGTGAGGAGGGGGGCGCCGCTGTGGAGCACCGCAGCACAGGCGCCGGCATGGCGGCAGTGTTGGGGGCGGTGGGTGCGGAGCTGGGGGCCGCTAGCGTGGAGCGGGTGCGGTCGCTAGCAGCGGGGCTGCAGGGGTCCCCGCAGCAGGAGCAGGGGCAGGGGCAGGGGCAGGGGGACCCAGGGGCGCCGAGGGAGGCGCCGGCAGTCCTGAAGACATTGCCGCGGTCAGCATCGCAGTCAGCATCGCAGTCATCATCGCAGGAAGAAGAGGAGGAGGAAGAGGAGGAGGAGGAGGAGGAGGGTGATTTGGCT